AGTCCATCCATGATTTTAGTTATTGTATTGTTAATTATATACCTTCTTCCACTTAGGTCTATTTTTTAAATTCTCTTTTTTTAGTAGTAGCATTATTTCTTTTTGTAGCTTTTCATAGGAGGTTATAATTATTAAAATTTCTAAATGTATTTCAGTATTTCATCATTTGTACTGTGCTCCTTTTTTGTAACTCAAGTTGTATTTCTAATGGCACATAACATAGTGCATTATTTTATAATGTAATGGAAATTTTAGCTCTTATGAAAAGATAGTTTTGATTCTGTTAAACGTTATTTTGTGCAAGCAAGCATTCTATTTTAGATTTAATATATGAGTCCTGGCCTACTTTTTTTAAATTGTGGGCTCAATGATATTTCCAGGTAAGTTTTAGTTCCTGTGCAACACTATTCTGATTTGCTTCATTCTTGCTCTTCTGGCCTTCCTTCACAGCTCTGTATATGCTGCCTTGGGACTCATTGTTCTTGGGTAGGACAAACTCAGTCTTGGTCACAAGCATTGTGGTAAACTAAATCTGCCATTGTCTCAGATCTGAGTATGGGACTGGATCATTGGAAGCTCTAACAGATGGGTTCTGATTAGCATCAGCTCACCCCTTCTCCATTTGTCCATTCAGGAAATGGGATCTGATACTGACTTTATTATTGAGTAGATACCTTTCTGAAGGTGCTAAAATAGCAGAGTGGATTGTTGATATTTCATGTATTTAGCAAGCCAGGGTTGGTAAGACCCTTTATTGCTGATGCTGCAGATCAGGCAAATACTGCCCCAGGAGTCTGATATCACTGCTCTGGCAGATCAAAATATCAATACTTCAGGTGTAGAGTAATGAGTCATTGCCAGGCCTCATTAATTAAAGTACTTTTTGGATAAAGCCACCAGGTGCTAGGGATTGGGTTAGAACCACATTGATGCCACTGCCACTAATCAAGATGTCACTGATCTTGTTGGCCAGCAGGAAACTGTGTGTGTTGATTACCCATGTGACTACCACAGGGGAAGAGAAATGTGAGAAATGAACTGATGATTTGAGGGTCCTCAGCTATAGACAGTTTGTTGTTGTTTATCTCTTTGCTTGTTTTTGCTGTCAATTTATTATGCACTTGATTCACAGAGGTGGTTGGCCTAACTCTAGACTATCCATCTTGGAATATAAGATGTTTCACTGGCATATAGCTCCCAAAGCTATAGGTTCGTAGAACTTTCATTTTTACATTCCATCTTCTAAAGCCATGCTATTAGTATCTTTTCAGTTCTTTACAAGATATTTTGTTGTATTTAGAAGGAAAGACCATGTAGATACAAATCTAACATATTTGGTTCAGAAGTGTAAGCCTATTTCCTTGCTTTTGAAAAGTACATAATTTTTAAAAAATGTGATCAATTTTCTTTTGTTTTTACACATACAAAATAAGGTAAGATGTTAATTCTATAAACCTGACTTTGCTTCCTTTATAAAAGTATGTTCATGTATGAAATATTTTATACCTCTAATGTTACCTTCTCACACACTGAGATACTACTAAACTGATTTAAAAGAGCTACACTAATTCCTAGAAATAAGATATGAGTTTATATGGCTATAGTTAAGGACATTGATCATGATTTTGATAGTTTATTTTTTTTTCTTTTGCTCATCCTGGGGCTTGAATTCAGGGTGCTGTCCCTGAGCCTCTTTATGTTCAAGGATACCACTATAGGGTCACGTCTGGCATTTTCTGAGTAGTTTATTGGAAATAAGAATCTCCCAGACTTTCTTAACTGGGCTGGCTTCAACCAGCAATCATCAGAACTCAGCCTCCTGAGTAGCTAGGATTATATGTGTGAGCCACCAGCAACTGGCATGATTTCTATTTTTACAGTGTCTGTGTGCAAGTTTATTTTGTCGAGACATTGAAGTATAAGACAGAAGAATACCAAAGCCTTCCTAGCCTGATACCTCTGTACATGTTCTTTGAATGTCATTAAGGAATGCATATGTAACCAGTGCTTAAGAATCTCAGGATAAATTATTTAGTTAAATATGAGATTAAGAATTTGTCTCTTAAAATGTAATCACATGCATAGTTATTCTGGAGTGTTAGTTACATCATTTATTGTTTCTTGAATAATAACTATACCAAATCTCATTGTATTTAAATATTAAGTAGTTCTTATTATCATGATTCAGTGCATCAATGGAGAAACCCTTCTCTTTACTTTTTCATAAGTCAGTGGTGGGCTATGGTTCAGATAAGCATCCTTGCTGTTCATATTTGACTCTTAGATGGTCAGGATCCAGATAAGACAACTGTACTCTCCTCCTGCATGTTGCTTTCATCATCCATTTCCACCTAATATTGTATTTTAGTCCTGAACATAGGACCACTGGACAGTTCATGTGAGATGTTGCAAACACCCAAAGCTTCGTGAGTCCCAGTTGTATTACAAAAAAATCATACTGCAGCTAAATCTGCATGACCAATGCCAGCAGAAATTGAAGTGATGTATAGATAGACTATCTTCTTGGGAAGTGCTACAAAGACTACCAATTATGATCATGTTTGGATATAGGGAAGACATATTTAACTATTCTTAAACACTTCTAGTAGTTTTAAAAGATGTGATCTTCTGCTAGTCTGTTTAACATCCAGATCGAGCCCTGACAGGACATACTGCTGTCCACAATATTCTTACAAAATACATTCTGAAATGCAACGTCAATAAAATATCATCAATTGTTTTCAATAAGTCTTACAAACTTCATTGTTTTTATATTCTTGGTGAAATACTCTTAAAGAAACGGGAATACTTTAGCTGAATTTATCCTGCAACAGGAATCCTCTTCATCTTTGCTACCAATCCTGCCTTCTGTGTGTGAAGAGCATTGAAGTAGGTACACTTATTGATATAGATGAAAGTTTGATTTGAAATTGTCAATAAGTTCTGAGACAATTTATTATATAGTAACAATATTTCTTGTTACTTCTAATAGATACCAAAGTGAATTTGGATAAGAAGTAAACTTACAGTAGTTCTCTGAATAGTCATTTTGTAAGAGCTGCTTTCTGCTTCCTTTTCAAATAATGACTTCTCTGGTTTAGGATTTTTTTTTTTTGGTCGATTGTGGGGCTTGACCCCTGGGTGGCCTGGGCTCTGTCTCTGCGCTCTTCAGCTCAAGGCTAGTGCTCTACCACTTGAGCCACAGCACCACTTCCGGTTTTGAGTGGTCTATTGTAGATAAGAGTCTCATGGATTCTCCTGCCTGGGCTGGCTTTGAACTGCGATCCTCAGATCTCAGCCGCCTGAGTAGCTAGGATTACAGGCGTAAGCCACCAGCACCTGGCTTGGTTTGGGAATTCTTGTTCATAAAATTTTAAATAAATTTTTGAAGGTGCACAAAAATTTACTCTTCCATAGAACGGTATTGATGTATGATGAAAGCCTAGGTTGAAACCCAAGGTGTACTGTGGTAAAGATTTGTTAAATTAAATGATATACCAAGCAGCATGATACTTCTTTCATCTGTTAATTATCTACTGCTACATAGGAAATGGTTCTAACCTTAGTGTTTTGAAGTGCATTTATGTTAGCTTACAGTCCCCTTGTGTCAGAGTAGCAGACACAGTTGGTTTCCTTATTCAGAAACTCACAGGGTTACAGTCATGGTGCCTCTGGGGCTGTGTTCTTATTTGAATGTTAAATCTTTTCACCACATGATTGAAGATGCCAGAAGAATCCAATTATTCAAGATTGTATGGGTTAGGTCTTTATGTTCTTGTTCTAGATTAGCCAGGCCTGCTCAGAGTACCTGTCAGCCAATTTTAGAAGGCAGGCTTGTGGCTTGGCCTGACCCAGCTGCTTCATAACCCAAGTCTGCTCAGTCTGATTCATCTGAACTTCTGTGTGAGCACCAACCTGATCAAGTTTAGCCATGTGGATGATCTCCTTTAAGTTGGTGAACTGACACTGGGAATCAAGTCAGTAAAATCCCTTCACCTATGTCTCCTCATGGTACCCCTCCCATCACTGAAACCCATCATAAACTCAAGCTCAGGCCACAATCAAATACTACATGAGAAAGTAGGAATCTTGAGGTTTGTCTAAGTATCATTCATCTCACACTTTAAAAATTTTATTCTAGTTTAGGGGTCCCAACATGGCTATCATTTATATTTTTCTACAGCATTTTTTTCATAAAAACCTATGTGAATTTAAATAAAACTCAGGGTCATGATATATATCCTGAAACTGATGCCTATTTTCTAAAGCTTCACAAATGATTCCTAAACAGATAATCCTAAAACCCTGAGACTTTTACTATCTTTTTTATTTAATATAAATATGATACTTAGCTGTCATTTTATAAAGTATTGGAGTCTTTCCATACTATAATTAAGTTCATGAGAGGGCTTGTAACACAAATGGGATCATGAAAATTAAGGGACAAAAGGCAAAATTATCATTCTAGCATAGAGAGTGAACAATTTTTGGTCAGGCTTTGAATTGTACCAACTCTTAAGGAGTCAGTCCCCTTTCCCACTATAAAACTGAGTTAATAGCTAAGTCTCATAAAAGAGTCATCACTTCTTGGCATCAAATCTGTAGGCCATTCCTCAAAATGAAAGTTTTTTAAAATGTTTTCACTAATTTCAACTTGGATGTTCATTCTCAAGCCCTCTGTCTTGGCAGGTTAAGTCCAAATGACAACTCCTGGCAAAAGAAATTGGCAGATCACCAAATACTGTCTTGTATTTCTTTTAAAGTGAATTTCCACAGAATGTGTCTAACAGAACTTAATCTAGTAACATTATCCCTTTGTTAAATATTGCCTTATTTCTTCTCTTCATCATTCATATATGATTTGAGGTAATCCTAGAAATTGAAATGTGGTGGCAGTAGGGATAATTTTAATGTGGGTGGCAGCCTGCCACTTAAGTAAACTTTACTTCTATTTGAACACTCACCAGACTCTTCTTTTATCTTTTTATTTCTGCCTCTAGATTACTCTTCAGGATGTTGAGATTTCCAGAGAAGTAACCACCCAGTACAAGAAAATATTGTTCTACCTAAATTCAAGTAAGATCATTGTTTAATAATAAAGAATCATTTGTTGATTGGTGAAAAAATAACCATTTCTTTACATTTCTAGAAAACAGTTGTTTACGTTGATATTAATTTTTGTGACTCCTCTTTCATGATTTTGAGTGGAAAACCTCTGAACACATCCCAGCTTTTTGCTTTATTTGGTATTCAGATGATTTTTCAATAATATATGTTTAAACAACTCTAATTGTATATATGTTATTCATTTAACAAGCAGTATTTTGAGTAACGAAAATAGCAGTTCATTTCTTAAAAGCCTACTTTATTTGGTACGAAGTCAGATGCTTCCTTAAGACAAAGAACTGCAATCACACCCAGCTATAAGCTGTGGAGTCCAGGAGAAGGTGCTGTGGGTGACACTAGGAGACAGATTGGCAAAGACTCACTCCTGAACATGCTTCATATCACTGGAGAATAAACAAGACCTGTTACATTCTTTTTTGCTTGATGAGAACAATGAATGAATTCATAAGAAATTAATAAAATGAGACAAATACACACTTTCAGAAGCTTTTGAAAGCACACTGGACGCAGCAGAAGATCAATATGGTCTGCAACCTTAGTTGCCTGACATCTTAGCTAGGACAAGTGTCAATCTGGGAAGGAACCACATCTTAATTGCTAAAAAAAAAAAATAAGTAGAACCAAGCTTTCAAAGCTAAGAGTGGAATACACTGAATCTATTTTCCTAATAAATTGTTACCATATTTGTGAATTTTTTTATTGACTGTGGTTTTACTGATAATCATAAAACTCATTGGTGACTATTATATTTCAAATAATCCTAGCTCTGGAAATTGTGTTGTACATATTGATGTTGTAAATTATATTTCAGTGTAATACAAAAATAGTAAGACCACTTTGAGTATGTATCTGTATGAAAAATACAAAAGCTGAGAACTGGATGTTTGCATACATGCAAATTATTTATTAATGGAGGCCCCAAGCTAAACTCCCAAGGGCTACGGGCAAGGTCAGAGGCATTTGAGTTAAGGGCAATCAGAGCTCAGGAATAGTCTCCATACTGAGAACTCTGCTGAGCATCACAATACTTAGTTATATTTCTCATGGTAGAATGTATGAAGATATGGTGGCTACCAAATGAAATATTTTCTCACTCAAATTTTGTCCTTGGATACCTGAATTCAGTCATTTTCCTTATCCTTAAATTGACTAGTATATAAGAAACGACAACAATAAAACTCTTTCTAATGCATGTAATTGATAGATTATTTCTAAAGTTTCCAGATGATTTTTTGATAGCGAAGACTAAGGAGTCTCAACAAACATAACCATGACTTGGACTCTCCCTTTCTTTATCACTGAACATCAGTCATTCAAACCTTCAGATTAAACAGGAATTTTTTTTCCCTTTGATCATTATTATTCCTTCTCTCAGTCCTTCACTTAAAAGCCCATGTAAAAGAATTAGCTAAAAGAAATAGAAAATAATAGAAGTTGGGCTTTCAAAAGCATGGTACATTAGCCTTGAGAGTCAGCATTTTTATACACCAGGCAGTGCTCCATGTACTTCTACCTCACTCTTCTGTAAAGCTCAACAATTATGGTCTTAAATAGTCATACATTTATAAATTCTCATGAAAATTCAATACAGAGCGAGAATGGTAATTGCCTCTTATATATGATTTAAATGTTCTGTGTTTTCAATTTTTGTAGTGAGTAAAAACAGTTCAAAATATTAAACAGGGTTTTGGAAGTAATCAATACATCAGTTTTAAGTCGCATTGTTTTCTATGTGCTGTGCTGGCAAGGGACCCCACCTGGAACACAGAACATTTATTTGCCCAGGATATCCACAATAAATACTTCCTGTTGTTAGTAACGTGGTAGTTGTCTCCATTAAATTATCACAGTATTTATCTCCAAGTAGGTTGTTAATACTAATGATTATAAAGCACAAGAATAGTGATGTTGATGGATTTATTACACCATGTTGTCTGATTGTCTGATCTTATTATCAGTTACTGATCATGTCTTACTATACCTACTTTATAAAATCATACCTGGACAAGATTATATGTTTTGGATTTGGTACTGTTTGGAGCTACAGGCATCTACTTATTTCCATGATAATCTTCATGAATGAGCAAGGACAACTGTATGATGTGTATGAAGAAGGCAAACAGCCAGATATAGAGGGAGAAAGAGCAATTCCCTCTATAGTGTCTGTTCTGTTCTGTCCTCCAGGAATCTTCTGACAATCACACAAAATAGTATGTAGTTATTTTGTTTATGTGGTGCTGAGGAATCGAACCCAGGGCCTCATGCATGCAAGGCAAGTGCTCTACCACTGAGCCACCTTCCCAGCCCAGTATGAAGTTATTTTGGAAATAACTGTGTGCACTTCAAATATTTCTCTATCAATATAAGCACATACCTTTCTCTTCCATTATTTATTCTTGCTACTATGTATTCACTTGTTGAGCTACATTTGTTCCACATTGAAAAGGAAAGTGGCTTCACAATAACCCATTCGTGACTGGGCTGTCAGCAGCCATGGTATCTGGGCCATCCATCCCCCTTCTGCTGCGCAGTGCTCTCTACTTGACTAGAGGATATCTCAGAATTCCTAAATACTTTCTTATTTTCCAAGAGAAGATGACTATGTCATGTATTCAGTGTTGTAGAATTTTACTGGCTGCTTTCCTGTGCTTTAGGGTCATTGGAATCATCCACTCTCTGCTTTACTTGGTCTTCCCTTGCTCTGTTTCCTTGCTGTGTGATTATGTTTCCACAGGATGTAACTTCTGTTGGTCTGTTTACTAGCAGAAACATTGTTGAAACTCCCAGCTCACTTAAGCATGTGTGTGATTTAATAGAATCATTGATTCCTATAGTGCATTTCTAGTTTTGCTGACTGTGTTGTTCATGAATGAAATGATACAATAACCAAATGCAACCAAGCTCTGTCTTGAGCTCAGCAGCATCTTCCTATCATAGCAAGCTTTCTTTGCATGCTCTAAGTTGATCCATTGCCCATCCATCTTCCTTGCTACAGACTCTGACTCGGGTAAGTCTCCATTAGGGGAGGTGAATTGAGGCTGCTGTCCAGGGTGCTAGTATCCATAAGTTCCCTGGGACTCAAATTTAAAAAAATGCTGATTTATATTTTGGTTGTTTGTGTAAGCTTTTGTTTCTATTAAATTTTAAATGTCACAGTTTCTCTTTTTGACCTCAGATTTTACAATTGTGCCAAAATATACAGGATCCCAACAAATATTCCAGAAAAATTTGATCAACTGTAGCTGTAGCTACAGTCTGTGTATCTTAAAGACTTCATTTCTCAGTTGAGAAAAAAGTGGCTACATTAAAAAATTATTTCAAGAAATATCATTCATATATCAGAAAGAATTCAAGAGCTGGGAATTTAGCATATTTGTAATATTTGAGTATTTGCATAGAATATATACAGCCCTGAGTTTGATCCCCAGTATGTACACACACACACACACACACACACACACACACACACAGAGAAAGGATGGATAAAATATCGCTAGCTGAGAATAGTGGTGCATGCTGTAACCCCAACACTGAGGATGGGAGAATTAAGAATTTGAAGGCATTGTGGACATCAGAAAATAATTATCAGCTTCTTTAAAGTTATGTAAGAAACTATTTCTTAGAGTAAGAGAAAAATATCATTTCATTTTACTTGTAAAAAAATCCCTCTGATTACTTTCTTTTGTTTCTCTTAGTCAGCAGAAAGGATTTTTTTTGGAAGTTTTTGGTGTCACTTTCCTTCTTGAGCAGATTACTCTGGCTGTTTTCAGGCTTGGAAATTCCCTCTCTGGACTGTACTGTGTCCATATTTTATTTGTTTCTGTCCTTCTGTGGAAAAGATTGTCAAGAAAATCTTTAGGTCACTATCAGATACCTTTGGTGGCAAGAAAAATAAAACAGTAAGTTGCCATATAAGCTTATAAATATTACAATGTTCAATGCTGTATGCTCATTCTAAAATGTAGCAATTAAACTGGTGGAAAATGCAATAGATTCTTGAGAGTAGAGACTGGCTTCATATGACTTTTTTGTCAGTCAAACCAGCCTGTTTTCCCAAATTTCAGTTGCTTCCTGAGCTTTCAGGCTTGAATAGTGGCAGGGTATACTACCCAGCCACTTGATTATAAACCCTTGGCTGCAAGCAAGGACTTGTTTCCTAACAAATCTCATTCAGCGTTTCTCCTAGCTAAAAAGACCAGTACCATCAGGCCTCCCTGATTCCAAAGTAAATAAGTCAAAGCCACAATAGCAGTGGGGTTTGCTGGTTGTGGCAAGTGTCATCTGTCAACAGAGGCCCAGGGCTCAGGAGCTCATGGAAAATGCTGATTATTGAAGCATAGGAGGGCTGGCTTCAAGGGAGTAACTGTTACAACTCAATCTCTAATGACATAATCAAGGTCAAATCCTCTAAAATTGAACTGAAGAAAAAAAGAGAATCCCTTAAATTCTGAAAATACAATTTTGGAGAACAGTTATAAGCATTATTTAGAAGTTATTTATTTATATTCTATAAGTAAATTTATCAGGGAAAAATAAAACATGACAAAAAATTCACTCTTAATAACAATAGACCCATGGATACAACTGTTATAACAGACAATATCTTTGTGTGAAGAAATAGATCATAAACCACCTTATATAAAGACATGCCAATATGACTGGTCACTGTGTATTCAGCTTTGTAACTTGAATCACTTGAAATACTCTGGCAATCATCCAAGTCTTCTGACAATATAAAAACCTGGGGCAGTTCCACATACACAGTCCCACAGAGGGGATGTTGGAGAAACAGAAATGTATAAATGGGGTATCTATTCATTGCCTTAGAAAATTTCAACACGTTTAATAAGCAAATGACAGTATTTAAAAAGTCAGCATTGTGTACTTTTACAGAGACAAATTGGCAAGAATCAAAAACTCTAGTTGAAAGATCAAATGGGAAACTCAAT